ACCCATGTTAAACCATAGTAAACCATAGTAAGCCATAGTAAACCCATTAAACCTCCATGAGTTTACCGTAACGGGTAACTTCCCAACTTCGATCGGCAACATCAAGGCTACAAGACGCACATGTTGGGCAACATCAAGTTGGTCGGTGGCCTCTTGGCCCGTGGCATGTTGGCTGCCAAGGCCCGAGAAATGCGGAGTTTTTTTCTGCGTTTTTTTTCAGAAGTTGAACAGACACTTTGTAGGTATGTTGGTGCCCCAGTTCGGAATCGCTAAGTTGGTGCACACCTAACTCCAATTTCACTAGGGTTTATGGTACGCAAATAACGAACTAGTATTCCTGGGGTTTATAAACCAACAGACATAACGTTTGGGGGGACCACCTTGTAGGTATGTTGGTTCATGAAGCCCATCAACTACTTGGATATAGCCAAATATCGCCACCATAAACCCTAGTTTGTTTTTTTTGGTAACTCACGTATAACACAACTTGGCTAAGGTCTGGGTGTTGAGTCAATTGCAATCAACAAAGGCGACACAGCACACCACATGTCCCAAATTCCCATTGGTTGGTTGATGAAAATGGAGGGGTTTGAACAGATCCCTTTGTACAAGAGGTAAATGATGATAGATGGTATACAAAACCGGCCCTTGTATTTGTACCAAAAGGACATTTTTGCACCACACATGCAATTTGTATGTATACATATATATATAGAGTATACAATGTGGGGCCCCCGTTTACGATAGCTAAGTTGGTGCACATAACTTCAATATCTATGGTTTATGTTACGCAAATTAACTATAGTTACTTGGGCCTATAAACCAACTGATAACTACAGGACCCCACATGGTATATTTTGCACAGATACATGTATACTAGATGAGTTGGACAAATATAACCCATCATATTGCCTTAGCCATAAAGTTGGGGTATAAAGTTTTTGGCTATATAGAAAACCCTTCGAATCTCGGCGGACCCGGATTTGCTGCTATTTGCGGTCATCCCTGGTACACATCATAGTACTAAAAAGAATCATATGTGATAATCATTCATCATTAATCATATTATTATACAAATTCCTATACACATCATTAATCATTCATTAACCTGAATCTTGCGGCCATAGAAGGGGATGATTTCCCTATAAAAACCATGATTCCCAGGGTTCGGGAGAACAGTGAGGTCGTTATAATTTACACAGTATTATCCCATTATCATCTCTTTAAAAGCATATTAAACCATAGTGAACCCCCAAAAAATGGTGCCATGAAAATCACACATTAAACAAACAATCCCATAGGATCCATGTATGGTATATTTACCGAATCATTCACAAATAATCAATATTTTCATATTACTTCAATGTAGGCTAATCTATTCCAGCACAATGGATCCTATGGGAATGCTTACCACAGCATGTTTCCAACGTATCCATGTTACGCCTCGCGGCTCCTGGGCACAGGTGGGCATTGCCATTTTGGAGGAGCTGTTGTCGAATCCCACCCCCGAGGCGAGTCACGAGATTGGGACGTCCCTGGGAAGTACGGCCAGGTAGAGATTAGCCGTTGGTAAACGTAAACGTTTACAATGTGGGGCCCCCGTTTATGATAGATAGCTAAATTGGTTTATAACTTCAATAAGTCTAGTATGGTTTATGTTACGCAAATCAACTATAGTTAATTAATCACTGGGGTTTATAAACCAACTTTACACTAGGGGGGGCCACATTGTACACAACATTGGAAGATCAACACGCTAGTCATGGTAAAATCCACTATTTCTATGGAGATGTTCAATAGCGAACTGTTAAATTACCAGAGGGTAAACATGAACAGAAAACATTGCCCAGAGAATTTAGATCAATGCCACTCAATATTTATACTTTTCTTGGTTAGATATCTAGCCACGTAGATGGATTATGGATCATTGTATATCATTGTATATCCATTATATGTGCATTGTTTATCCCATTCAAACACCCATATCTATAAATCAATCACCTAAACTGCACCCAAAGTATGAATTTATCTATAACTGATGATTCACTCCGAGATAGTTCCATTTTATATATCATTGTACTCCCATTATATCATACCACATGCAATTTAGTCATTATTTTTTTATTCGGACATCTTGAGTTTTTTTTCAAATTTATTCGAGTATCTATTGGATTGCAAGTTCCGAACAATAATCATAGACCACAATCATATCCCATGTCTATGAATAAAACTATGTAGATGCACATTATCATTAGTGCTTATTTTTTGGACTATAGTACTGCTATTATTGTAGATTAGCCATAGGTATAGTGGTAATCCATGATCTATCATTAGCTAGAATGAATATATGTACAATTTATATACATGTACAGCCCCATTACAACTCAATTGTTATGAATTCCCAATATGTACCCTTTGTTTCTTCATCGTAGCTATAGAAAGTCACATGATTTAAAGCAAACATAGGTAAATCACCATTTTTATTGTTTGTTTTCATGGGCCATCGCTTTCGTAGCTATGTTACACAACCAGATGGTAGAATTCACAACTGCATTGTATTCTATCCAATGATAGATATAATCCAAGAATAGATAATCTTACCCTCTGGTAAACTAACATAACTATGGACAATCTCCATGTTTAATGTGACATTTCAGTATACATGGCCATTTTCAATAGCTATCTTTGTTTATCTATAATGATGATGAAATCCCATTACTGTATCCATCAATGGATAGATATTCTATAATTAGTCGTAAGCGGACGAATTCTACCCATTTATAACCGTGGTAATTACCAAGGTCCTCAGCTATTGAGTAGGATGAACCACCAAGCTAAGTTGTTTTATAAGTCCAATAACTATGGTTTGTAGGTGATCTATGTATAGTTTTAATGGGATTATAATCCATGTATGTATAGTTTTCATGGAATCACAATAATTGTTGGACCATAGTTTGTCAAGATATATGTATTCCACAATGTGGGACCCCGTTTTATAGTGGATATCACTATACTTAATGGGGCTTATAAACCAACGTATAACTGGGGGGGGCCTACACTTTATAGATTGATTAATGCATCAAGCAAAGATTAGTGGTAAAATTAACTTATGTGGTTTCCTGATGTCATTATCCAATAGACCAACGGATAGGCATTTAAATGGACATATGCATGACATTACATTTATAAATAATGAAACCTACTATCATTATATCCTAAATTGATAAATCATACTTAGAATAATACCATATCATTGATCATTGTTCATATATTCTCCATATTTTCCCATTATCCAATGCATAAATTTCAATATCTATAAAATCAAAATTTAAAATCATAGAATATTAATGTAGTCTCAACAATCCAGTTATAGTATGGAATCCCAATATCTATCATATTCAGATTATCCAATGGATTGATAAACACCGTGAAATAGAGGTTATAGATTACACGAGTGATTCCTATATATGTCGCCATATGCACTCATATTTGCAACAGTTGCTATCATCTAACAGAGAACCATAATAAATAATCCATGATAATACAAGAATAAGACATAATCCCATTAATCATTTTGAAATCCAGTAAATCTCTAGATGGGGTTGGATTGTTATTATATATCCAATTAATCATCACACATATGCATAAATATTCTTTATATGTATGATATCCCATATCAAACATTGTAGAAAATCGATGGCAGTCCAATTATCATCATGTGTCATACCAACCATTCATGGTTCTGAAATCCCTACGTTAATGAATTATCCACATTATCCAATGATTTAATGCAGGAAAGATGGGGTTAGAACAACTATCCACACATATCCCATATGTTCCACAACTATCCATAGATATACTGATACTATAGATATCATTTGAATACGCTGTATGTTCCTCCATTGGATATGTTTAATCATATATAGGATATGAATACACGTATCAATATACCATAGTAGTATATCAGTATATCAATATACTTTGTAGTCATATATGGATATTGTAGTTCTAAACTATTATATCAGTATCAATATGATATTGGTAGTGATATAGCCATAGCACTATATCAATGATAGTCGTTGATAGTTGACCTATATCACTATATATCACATCTCACTGATAGTCATACCCTCTGGTAAACTAACACAACTATGGAAAATCACCATGCTATCAAGGGGTAAACCAACTATTTCAATGGCAATTTTCAACGGCCATTTTCAATGGCCATTTTCAACAGCAAACTGTTAAATTACCAGAGAGTATCCCATTGGATCCCCAAGATGAATACATCTCAATATGAATGCATCTTGTGGATTTACCATTAATCATTACCCACTGGTAATTTAACGGTGTGCAATTGAAAATGACCGTAGAAATAGTGAGTTGTCCCAGTAAAAGTTGTGATTTTCCATAGTTATGTTAGTTTACCAGAGGGTATATCCATCAATATCCCAGTAGTATCCCATCATTATCCCATCATTATCCCATTATCATCCCTTTAAATCGATCATTAATCATGCTGAAATACATTTGTTTTCAATGAATCATTTTCCCTAATGGATAGTTTTTCACTATAATATCATTATATCACTATACAACTATCAACGTAGTACTATATCACTATCAATATTTCACTATGTTGAAGTAGTACTATATGGATTACATCTCATCCGAAGCTTTTTCTGATGAATACATCTTATATCAATATGATTATGTATCATCCCATTAATCCTGAATCATGCTGAACTCTCTATACTTTCCATTAATCATTATCCGTAGTTATGTGATGTTACCAGTCAAAATGGTGCTTTTCCATAATTATGTAAGCGTTTACCAGAGGGTATATCCATCAACATCCCAGTATTATCCCGGATGGATCGTTGTTCACTATAATATCACTATATCACTCAATCACGATATCTATCACTATAGCGATTACCCTCTGGTAATTTAACATAGCTATGGAAAATCAGCATGTTTGATGGGAAAACTCACTATCAATGGCTATTTTCAATAGCGAACCGTTCAATTACCAGAGAGTACATTTCATTGATAATTGATAGTCATATAATGTGGGCCCCCAAACGATAGCTAAGTTGGTGCACATAACTCCAATAACTATGGTTCATGGTACTTATAACATCTTATAACTATAGTTTCTGGGGTTTATAAACCGACATAACTGGAGGGGCCCCACATTGTATTTGTTTTGCCCAGATATATATATATATACTAGGTGAGTTCGATGGTGGGCCTTAATTCAGGTTCATGAATTATTGTCGTATACCCAGTCTATATGGATTACCCTCTGGTAAATTAACAGTTCGACCCTGGCAGTCATCGGGTTGGAAGATTACTTTCAACTAGAAAATGGTGATTTTCAGGGTCTATGTTAATTTAAAAGAGGGTACATCTCATACTCTATATATATCATAATATATCACTATGTCACTAAATCACTATATCTATCACTTTAAATTACCAGAGAGTACATCTCATTGATATTCATAGTTGTATCGCATGATCATCAATATCCCAGTAGTATCCCATGATCATCCCTATATAACTGTATTAAACCAAATTAAACCATAGTAAAACCATATTAAACTATAGTAAACCCATAGTAAAACCATATTAAACCATAGTAAAACCATATGAAACCATAGAAAAACCATATTAAACCATAGTAAACCCACTATATCCATCACTATATATTGATACTCGTAGTTGTTCCAACAACATCACCCCAGGCCCTGGAATCCGTGGCCGCGCTGCTCACCACCATGGGCTCCAGTGCAGATCGCCCTGAGTGGCCGCAGAAGAAAGCCTTGTGCCGTGGCCAACAAAAACCCTGGGTTTACTATGGGTTTAATGGATTTACTATGGTTTAATATGCTTTTATAGGGATGATTACTATGGTTTAATATGGTTTTATAGGGATGATAATGGGATAATACTGGGATATTGATGGTGAACTATAGCTATAAAATATGTTTATGGGTGATATAACCTCCAACATATGAAATATATCTTACCTTGGTTTATGGGTGGTACAACCATTTGGGGGTGAAAACCATTTATAACCAATGATTGGGTGATTAGTTATTTATTATGGGTGAGTAACAATAGTTATTGCAAGGTGGTGCCCCGCAAACGTGATGTTTGTTGGTTTATAAACCATATTAAAGTATAGATATAACACCCATTCATCAACCCTAATGAAATTGGAGCCCCAGTCATCATCCATTATAAATGTGATTTTCCATGAAATCAACCATCCAGCGAACTGGGGGTACCCCATCTATGGAAACCCCAAAATCGGGTTCATGTGTATTTGTGTGCAGAGACACAGAAGGACACAACCCGAGCAGAAGGGTGAAAACCATGCTAGGTTGAACCAGTAAAAGATGTGGGAAACATTGAGCACGTTTCATTTTAACGTAGACAAAAGAGGCGAGGTGGAACTAAAACAAAATACATGGAACAACTCAACAACACAGAAAGCGGAAAACATGGACTTACTCAAAAAATGGCTGGTGATATCTGATGATATTTGCTACTGTTTCTTTGATCAATAATCAGTAGGTTAGCAAAAATGGTGAATATCACCTACAATGTGGGCTCCCTAGATAGCTAAGTTGGTTTATAACTGGGTTAACTATGGTTTATGGTGGATATAACTAAACTTCATGGGGTTTTTAAACCAACTTATAACTGGGGGGGGCGCATTGTAGAATACTTTGGACTTTTGAGCACCACATGTGGACTGTGACTTGACAAAACATATCTACAGCTCGAGCCCCCGAGCTGACGAAATCGTTCCACGTAAAGTTCACTTGGTTAATTCGATGCTTTATGGATGCTTGTGATAGAAATTATTCATACTATTCATGGGAGTTCACGGGGACTATAAGCCAATGTATATAATTAAGGGGTTCCACATGGCCCTGGGGGTATTTTCCAATGGGTTGGTGAAAACTGTTTCTTCCTACCTGGCCAACACACAGCGAGAAAACCCAACACATGCATGAAAAACATGGGAAACAACACACCAAAATCATCATATGGAGGTTTCCTGAAATAGGGGTACCCCCAGTCATCATCCATTTCAAATGGGATTTTCCATGAAATCAACCATCCAGCGAACTGGGGATACCCCAAATGTAGGAAACCACCATATGTTGAAGTCAGTCATCCTATCATTGGGACTTTCAGGACCAAAAAAAATTGAAGGTACTGTACCGTACCATATGTAGAACGCCATATTTTAGGCGGATCTTCCCTGAATTTTTGTTCGGCCTTCAACTGGGCCTTATGTATGGTAAGGACCTCCAATTTCGGTTCCTGAAATGGCCTTGCATCCTATCACTGGTTTAGTTTTAAGTTTTTTTTTACAGGACACCCCTGCATTTCACTGGAAACTTCATGGGCAATCCGGTGGATTTTGTCTTAAATCAATTCATTGATACCAACTCATCACCGAGTCCCTTCAATACATGATTGGTAAACATATGGTCACATATTTGTTTAAATATTTGAAAGGTGAGTGTGATTTGTATATATATATATAGTCATTATTATTCAATATCAAACATGTACACATATTCAGTACACATTTTCAGTCTAGTATCTTGGTGAACCAACGATCATTTCTATATACATATTCATACCATCATCGATCCCAAAATACCCGTGTTTCATATCCCCTCATAGGTTAGGTTGTTTTTTTAGTTTGCCATATTTATTTTTTGAGGCATAGTTTAGTCTTGTAGTTTCCCATATCGTTTCATATGTTTATCGTTTTTTGGTTTCCAATAGGTTGAAACACCCATGTCTTGTTTGCCGCGAGGAATTTGATCTTTGATCAACTGGCTGTGATCGTGCAGAACAAAAGCTGCCAGACCCGTGAGCGCTGCTTGCTGAAGGCGCCACCCTTGATGGAGATGGTGGCTGCCGATTTTCATGAAGCATGATGGCTGGAACCCTGGAAAAATGATGAAAAATGGGAAGGGCGATAGGCATCATTGTATTGTTAATCCAAATTACTTGTCTTATCGTCCCATACAATGTGAGCCCCCCCCAGTTATAAATTGGTTTATAAACCTGATTAACTATAGTTATTCCCGTACCATAAACCAAAGTTATTTGTATGTGCACCAACTTAGCTATCATCAACGGGGGTCAAAAGACAGTGTATGTTTCTTCCAACGCGGGACTTTCTTTTGTATCTTCATGAAATGATAATTCCAGGATCCTAAAATGGAGGTACTGTACCATATTAAACCATATTAAATCATAGTAAATCCCTATAAATCCCATGGAAAACCCATATAAATATAGTGTATTTTCCAATATTGCCATGTTGAAATATCCAATTGTTTTTTGATCTCAACTGGTTTTCAGATCTTCCCTTTTGCCAGGACTTGCTCGACTTGCGTCGCAACGGATGGGTGGATCAGCGCCCGAAGAAGTTGGAGAGAGCCATGACACTCGCTGAGGCGCCACTGCTGGAGATGGCTGGAGATCACCTAACACTTGGAATACCCTGCAACTCGTGGGGCCCCAAAGTTTATGATAGCTAAGTTGTTGCACATAAGTCCAATTTCACTATGGTTTATGGTATTTATAACTATAGTATTCCTGGAGTTTATAAACCAACTTATATCTAGGGGGCCCCACATTGTATGGTAAATCAATTATTACTATAGCAAAGTACCATAGTTTATACCCACGGTGATTTTCCATAAGTTATAGCCATAGTAATCATTAAAACATATTAAAAATAGTGATTTCCCATGGAATGATAAATGAATAACTATGGAAAGATCCACATTTATCATATTTTTTATTTGGAAAATTCACGACATTTCGACTGGGCCATGGCTTCAAGTTCGCAAACTGTAAACGTCATTACCAGAGGGTATATCAATGTGGGGCCTCTGTTGACGAAATCGCTAACTTGGTGCACATAACTCCATTAACTAGGGTTTATGGTAATTACTTACACTTACAACTATAGTATTCCTGGGGTTTATAAACCAACAAACATAACTTTCGGGGGGCCCCACATTGAAGGGATTTACAATGATGTACATTAATGATCCCTTGCTATGACTCTATATGTTTTCACTAGTTGTTTTGAGATGAACCCCGTACGTTCCTGGCTGATGTGAAGAATGAGTCGTATGAAGCCAATCAATTCCATGAACCAGCTTTATTGCTACCCTCTGGTAATCAAACATGGCAATGGAAAATGGACCATTTGCTAAATTTAAAGGTGATTTTCCTAATAAAACCTCCATTCATCGGGGATTTTCCAGCCAGCCATGTTTGATGAAACCAGAGGGTATATGGAGTTGACATTGCTACTGAGTTCCCTCCTCCTTTCACTTGCTCTAGTACTGGATACGGAGCGTATGAAATATTAAGGGGAATGGGATTAATGGGTTGCTATCCAATGAACAAACCGGATCATTATGTGCACAGCAGATCATATGGGAGAACATCTAGAAAGAGTTTTTGGGTGTTTTGAAAGTTTTGTGGTTGAACAACATTTTTGTGGCTCACCCATGAACCTAGATGAACCTGCCGGTTTGCCCAGGGTTGTAGTGGTGCTATTTGTTCTCAGCGAATCCTTGGCAAGATGGCATGAGAAAGCACGGGAAAACTTGGTCGGTTGCAGGATGATGTGTTCCTTTGGTTCCTAAGCTGAGCCAAGCTAAGCCAAGATTTCTCAAATCTCGCCAAAAACCATCAAAAACCTTAATATTTCAGGATATCTCAACTTCGTCGTGGGTGAAAATCATGTTTTTTTTCCCATGATTTTCCCATGGACAAAAACCGTCAACGACACCTGTTCCCCTCGTGAAACTTCACCGTCGCATTTCCACGCACCGTGACCTCCTCAGAGGTGGCCGAAGGTGGACACGAGTCCACGGCGACGCCAAAAAAGGTGGTGCGAAGGGTGGCCACGTTCGATCAGGCGCGGCAGATCGCAGATCGCCGATTTGGATCTAATTTGCTGATTTACCCTCTGGTAAAAAGTCCAAAAATTAGGGAAAATCACCATTTGTGATAGGAAAATCCACTATTTCTATGGTCATTTTCAATAGCTATGTTAGTCATTACCAGAGGGTAATGGTGATTGAATGGTGATGAAATGGTGATGAAATCGTGATCTACTATGGGAGTCTAGTGAAATTTCATGAGGCCCATGAAGCTCAAGGATCGAATTTGGTGATTTACCCTCTGGTTATGTCAACACTTTGCTATTGAACATGGCCCAGTCGAAAGTTCGTGAGTTTTCCGAGTAAAAAATGTTGATGTTCCATCGTTATGTAAACGTTTACCAGAGGGTAATGGTGATGTCTCATGGTGATTTCATGGTGATTTCATGGTGCCTGTGGAATACTTCACCATGGGATCATGGGGATAAATTGATGGGTAAAATTTGGAACGACCTTTGGCGGCGACGTCGCGGGTTACCCGAAGCCTTGAAATCATGGAACGCCATAGGAAAATGGTGGTTTTTCATGAGAATTTATGGGATTTACCCTCTGGTAATGACTAACTTGGCTATTGAATTAGCATTGAAAATGGCCATATAGGAATAGTGGATTTACCCATTTATAGCATGGTGATTGTCCATAGTTATGTAAATGTTTACCAGAGGGCATATTGGAATCATGTACTTTGATGGCAAGATTCAGGTGAGTGAAATATGATAATTGACCTAGATTGATGGTACATCATAGTCTATTGGATCATGGTCTAAACAAAAGTATGTATATATATATATAGGGGTTTCCTGAAATAGGGGTACCCCCAAATCATCCATTTATAGATGGATTTTCTAGTATAAACCACCCATTTGGGGGTACCCCCCATTTATGGAAACCCCCATATATATATATATACCCTCTGGTAATTTAAGATAGCTATTGAAAATGACCATGTTTAATGGACAAACCCACTATAAATGGCAATTTTCCATAGCTATGTCAGTCATTACCAGAGGGTATCGCCATTGTATTAATGTCAACCATGGATCAATCAACCCGAAAAGGCTGTTTCATTGGGGCGGTACCATTTAAGTATCAGATCATCACTATTTGGGGAGTACGGCCAAAATGGAGGTCCAAATCATGATGAAACAGCCACAGTTTCTCCATGAATCCACGGTGAATCCATGGTGAATCTAGTTCCATCATGGAACCCATGTTTCTCTGGATTTCCATATCTTACTATGGAAAAAAGGTGATTTACCATGGTTTAATATGTGTTTTTTTTATTTGGGATGATAATGGGAGAATACTGGGGTTTTGATGGATATACCCACTGGTAAACGTTTACAGAACCATAATAGAACATCACCATTTCGAATGGCAAGACTTATTATTTATCTATGGTCCATTTCCCATAGATAACTGTTGGTCATTACCAGAGGGCATATCCATCAATATCCCAGTATCATCCCATAATCATCCCCCCCCAAAAAAAGTATAAACCATAGTAAACCCATCAAACCATAGTAAACCATAGTAATCCATATTAAACCCCTATTAAACCATACTAGACCCATAGTAAACCCATAGTAAACCCATTAAACCTCCACCGTTTTTCCCCAACGGACCGTCCCGGGGATCGCCAGGAGAAGTTCCGTCAGGCGCTGCGTGCGCTGCTGCAGAGCGAGGATGCGGCGGCCATGGAGCGCCTGCGGGCCGCGGGGACGCCACCAGCGCGGAGCGCCCAGCGGGAAGCCGTGGGAAACGCATGGGGAAATGCTGTAAGTGGATGAAAGTCGATTATTACTGGAATTCACTAAATATTATATATATACATCATATTTATATATATATACACATATTTATCTACATGATTATATTTATTTATCTATATGATTATATATGATAATGAATTATATATCTAAAGGGTGCGTAATGTCTGCCTTTTTGCAGCAGAAGAACGACATGCCAAGCCCGCTTTTACAGCGGCGAAAATGCCCGACGAAACGGCGAACATACTCGACCACATGGGCTGTGGCATTTCAATACATTTCATCCATTGGTGAATCATGATTTTCCCTCCCAAACATGGTCTGAAATTGTGGATCTCATCCCCCACATCCCCCTTGGAAATTGGTGAATTACCATTTTATAAGGCCTTTGTTTGGTCATGGTGGTGACCTTGGGGTTGTTTTTTGTTTGATTTCTAGCATGGAACACATCATGCAGGGTAGTGCCCCAGTTCGGAATCGCAAAGTTGGTGCGTTTATGTTGGTCCGATGTCACTATGGTTTTTGTTGCTGATATATCTAGAATCAGTTACCTAAAGAAAAGTGACTGAACTATATATATATAACTATATATATAACTATATATGGTTTATTATGGTATATACATCTATAGTTATATGATGGTTTATACAACTTATGTGACTTATGTGGTTTATTATGGTTAATTAGTGGCTTACAAGTGGCCTTTTTGATTATTTGTGGGATTATTACTCATTTATAACACGACACGACCCAGTGGTCAAGGAGTTTCTGAAGAATGTTGAACGCAACTTGGAGGACGATGAGGACGAGCGAGATCAATCATCTACCGTGCTGTGCCGAGGATGGCTTTGCATCTTTGGCCGTTTCGCAGGGCGACATCGACCCAGTCGACCCAGATACGGTCTTTCAAGGCGTGCCAAATCTTGCCAATGCCCGTGACCCGGCAGAATGGGAGCCGGCAGCTCAATGCCTGAAGTTCCTGATCGAGGAGACAGTGGACGTCGATTCCTGTCTCGTGAACTGGGCATATGCAAAACAGCTGGTTTTTACCAAGTTATAACTCACTGAAGAGAACCTTCATTAGGATATGTGGAAAAAAAACTACCCTCTCGTAGTTTAACATATCTATGGAAAAAATGGTAATTTATCGATATTTATAGTGATGTTGTCCCATGAAAAACGGTGATGTTCCGTAGTTATGTTAGTTTACCAGAGGGTATATCCCATCAAAATCCCATTAAACCACCATTTTCCCATGGTTTTCCCATGGTTTTCCTATGGTTTGGATGTTCCGTAGCTATGTAAACGTTTACCCTACCGGGTAGATGTCTCCAGCATGAAAAACAACCCGGAGACTGGGATCACGTGTCGAGGGATCCCAGGAATTGGATCGGTGAAGAACCAGAAGCCAATACATACATATACACAGTATATATATATATGTATATATTTATATCATAATTATATTATATTATATTATTATATATATATATAAACATCTTCATATTATTACATATATAAATACAAATACATTTACGTACATATACATATATATATATACATCATTTCTTCAATATAATATACATAAGTTTGGATCCTTATAACCATTTGTGCGAGGCCTACAGGTATGGTTCAGTTTTAGATGAGTCCATATGAATCCCATTCCCCATTCGTAGTAGTACCATTTAGATGGCATCACATGAACGAAGCATCACTGGAGGTCATAATGAACATCATCCCAAATTGAGGTGTGTACCAAATGTCATAAACTGTTGGTGCCCTAACGAGATGTCATTGGCACCACCCTACTTTTTGATGTTTGAAAAACCACCTATAACAATGGTGATTAATGGATGGTTTATGACATTGTTGTACCCACATTACCATTGGGTAAATCCCATAAAATCCCATTAAACCACCATTTTCCTATGGTTTTCCTATGGTTTTCCTATGGTTTCCTGTTGGGTGGTGTTTTTTTTCTTTTAAGGCGGGATGTGGGATCCCTCGACACATTCCCCGTTGAACGGGACGTAGATCAATTCCTTAGATGTTGATCCCATGAAAAACACCATGAAAATTCCCTTGAAAAAACACTCCTATGAGATGGAACTTAATATTCCCAATATGTTTCGATTGAAACACCATGAAATCCGAAAAAAAAAAAAACACATGAAATCCCAAAACGGTTTTACAATGTGGGCCCCCTAGATAGCTAAATTGGTTTATAAGTGGGTGAATTCTATGGTTTATGGTACTTATAACTATAGTTCCTGGGGTTTCTAAACCAACAAACATAACGTAACTAGGGGGGCCCACATTGTACAAGTTTCTTAAGCCACTTACCCGGCACAACCTCTGACCTGGTTACCCGGTTAGCCCATCAAGCACCTCCGTCTTCAGGCCTCCAAACAAGCCATGGAACTGGCGGAGTTCTTGAGCCAAGTGGTTCAGGATCCGCGACAACGTCGTTACACGTGGGGTGGTTTTACTTAGCGGTTCCCCAGTGGTTCCCCAGTGAATCGCTAAGTTTTAAGTTGGTGACTGGAACATGAATTGTATTTTTCCATTTATTGGGAATAGTAATCCCAACTGACGAACTCATATTTTTCAGATGGATTCAAACCACCAACCAGTAAGTTGGTTTGTAAATCCAATAACAATGAATGAAGATTGGCAATAAGTCCATTTTCACTATGGTTGGTATGTTGGTGAGATATCGATGTTAAAATTGGTGAATTATGACATGTACAATGACCTTTTCTTTTCTGATGGAGACTTAACTTCATGCTTATCAATATCTGATGTATATAGATATATTATGCATGATGGAATTCTAGCATCAAACATATATCATATATCTAGATACATCGCACCTTCCATTAGATTCTGTCAGAATCATTAAACATATAAGAAACCAATATTTCAGGAGTGGACCGAAACCTGTTGCAGGATAGATATGTATGTATATATAATGTATATATATATATGATACTATATATATATATAGTATGTCTATCTATAATATGTAACGTGTATATATTTATACATATATATGTATACAATGTGTATATTTATAAAATATGTATATACAATATACTTATATAATATGTGTATATATATATATCATATATCTATGTTTTGGTGTTAGGCTCGAATTTCATGTGAGCTCAATCAGCTCAGCTCTGTCACTGTTCACTGCGTATCACAGGAGGGCGCTTCAAAGCGTGCGGCTGGTTTCAAGGCTTTCTTGAAGGTGGCAGGCTGGGTGCACCGGTTAGCCTCTGGTAATACCTATATAACCGTTTGCGAACTGGAAAATCACCATCCTTAAGTAAATCAACTGTCATTTTCGGCCATGTTCAACAGCTATGTAAACGTTTACCAGAGGGTATATCCATCAATATCCCTGCATTTTTTTACCATCAGCATTATCGCATGATCATCCCCATAAAACCATATTGAACCCATAGTAAACCTATAACTAAACCCATAGTAAACCCATAGTAAACACATATTTAACCCATATTAAACCCATATTAAACCATAGCAAACCCATTAAACCCATTGAACCTCCATTGGAGACTCAGAAGACTCCGAAGAGTCGTCGGCATTTTCACAGGTCCAGCGACCAGATCAGATGAGCTGTGACCAGCGACCATGGGGACCATGACCAGAAATGATCGAAAATTCATACAAGTTGTGGGGCACCCGTTGTCGTTGTGTATGTTGGTTTCTAAACCCCAGGAATACCTCTATCAAGTGGTTAGGAGGGAGCTAAGGAGCTAGGGGTATCCACATTCCCTATATGTTCCCTATTCAATGGGGAGCCAAGGAGCTACTTAGAATTTCCCAACCATCTAATAGACCTATACTTATTCGCATACAAAGGAGTTAGGTTAGCACCAACTTAGCGATGTCGTTCACGGAACCCACATTGTAGGCAAGAACTTGATTTCAATGCGGTGAGTCGTGAGTTATTTAATGGATGAAGATTTGACAATTGTGTTTTTGTTTGAACACATTCACCATCAATGATCTGTGACTGACTATCTACAATGCGGGTCCCCAAACGATAGCTAAGTTGGTTTATAACTGGGTTAACTTAAGTATGGTGTATGGTGGATATATATATATACATAACTATGCTTACATAGTGGGGTTTATAAACCAACTTATGATTGTGGGGTCCCACCATCTTGGATATGATTGAACAAAATGCTCGGTGGACTCTCAAATGGTGTGTTTTCTAGTGTGTGAACTGACTGATTCGGGGATTATATGATTACCCATATGCTCCATGGTGCTGGTATATTTACCTACATAACTGGGTGATTTTGTTCAGGCAAATGTTGGTAAATATACCAGCACCATGGTTCGCATATGGGTTATGGACTGAGGCCATAGAATACGAATGATGTGAATCCCATGGCGAGGAATGTCTCTACGTTTTTGGTGGAAACATGCCTCTATTTTTGTGGCAGGAATCCCATCCTACAATGGGATAATCCACCTAATATATGGAATTATTATGCAAGTCAGTTGGGATTATTATTCCCAATATATGGAAAAAATACAATTCATGCAAGGTGGTGCCCCAGTTCGTTAGCTAAGTTGGTGCACATAACTCCGATAACCAGGGTTTATGGGTGTTATATCTATACTTATATGGTTTATAAACCAACAAACATCACTGGGGGGGGCACCACCTTGTATACAATGGGATAATCCACCTAATTATCAACTGGCGCTGGATTCTTCGATCCACAGTACCCTCTGGTAAACATACAAAAAAAAAACATGGAAAATCACAATTTTGAATGGAACAACTCACCAGAAATGGCCATTTCCAATAGCTATGTTAAATTACCAGAGGGTAGTATGTTGAAATTGCCCTGTTTCTTTTGGTGATAATTTCAGACAGATTTTCCGTCACATCCTTGCGACAGGTGAGTGGCACTCGGAGGCGTTGGCTCAGGGCGTCCTTCGTCACAAACAGGGGTCGGTCGGTCAAGCTCATTGTGTCCACTGGGTGAATAAGGGAGGTTCATTCAGGGAAAATCATATGATCTCTGGGTCCACTGGGTGAATATGGTAATGTGGTATGTTCAGGGAAAAGAAGAAAATGATCTCTGGGTTTCACTGGAATACAAATGATTGCAGTGGAACAGATTGATTTACCCTCATTAAGATAGCTATTGAACATGGCCATTTATAATCATTGCTGTATATATATTAATATATATATATATTAATGTACTAATTACCATGGCAATGCATCACTCTTGTCATTGGTTTATTTTTTACACATAATATATTACCATTGCCATTGGTAAGTTTATACATTGTCAATACCATAGTTATCACATTGCCATGATTAGTAAAGCGGTCATGGCCATTAACCGAAAACCATTGTATTAAGTAATGCACATTATCATTGGTTAGTGTAATGGTGGATTTACCAACTCATCATAGTTACCAACCATGGTTATCCAGCATGATATTATTAACCCATGCCCATTATATAATTGCAATTCTTAGTAATCTTGCAATTTAACCCATTAAGGCATTGGCCCATTACCATTGTCATTGCCATTAACGCACCCTGTGAATGTACATAACCATTGTGTTTACCCTCTTGTAAACTAATATAACTATGGAACATCACTATGCTATTAATGGGAAAACTCAGTGTTTCCATGGCCATGTTCAATAGCGAAGTGTCACACATTACCAGGTTGGGTATCACCCTACTGATGCATCACCATACTATATCTCAACAGCATGTAACATGAGATATTAAGAACCCCATCACCCTAATGTTCATCCACTATCATATATACATATAAGCCTATACATATCCACTATAGATATACTATGTATCCTCTTGTTCAGATATGTGTATATATATATATATCCTATTGTTCATCCACTACATCCACTAGTTATATATATATAGTTATATATATATCCTATATATATATACCCTATATATATACTATATATATATATACTATATAGTAGATATCCACATATCCCCATCTTGTTGACATTTGGCACGCCCATCTCGCACGGTTTGAGGTCAAGATCTTTGTGACGGAGATGGCCGCGGATTTGGCCCTGGACGTGCCCAATCTCTCCCCGATCTTAGAGGTCCCCAGCAGAAATCATGGGGAGTTCAATGCAAGGTGGTGCCCCCCGTTTACGTGATGTCCGTGATGTGATTTTTTTTGGTTTATAAACCATATATATAAGTATATAACAGCCATATATAATCAACCCAAACGTGACATTGGAGTTAGGTTAGCACCAACTTAGCGATTCCGAACTGGGGCACCACCTTGTGGGAATTTAACAGGATTTCATGGACATTTCATGGACATTTCATGGACATTTCATGGACATTTCTGCTGGGATCTTTGCGATTTTTCGCCAGCAGAAATGATGAATTCAATGAAGGTGAAACTTATGGAAGGTTTAATTAAACAATTAAGAGATCATTGGGTTGATCGTTGTTGACCATTGGTTTGATAAGTTTGATGAGAATATTGGTTTGGTTATCAAAGTATCGTAGCTAAGGCTAAGTTGCTGCAAGTTCAGAAAGACCATTGGGTTGATGAAAAGAGGATATCACTTAGATTGCAGTTTTTTGGGGTTGAAACAAAACCAACAAACATGATTGGAGGGGCCCATATCTGCAGGATAAACACCATCGGAAGCTTGGAATGCCGAACTATCAAACATGAGAGTTAAACGACATAAATTATCACAACATGATGCGCTGTGATTTGTTTCATCAACCCTTTCATGAAGGGGCAATGCGGCATGGTTATTGAGTCTTTGTCATCTATTATCATATGATATTCATTCGAACTGATTGATATAGATACCTTTGCATACATCATTGATACATACACCACGTGGTTCATTTATGATATTTATTATTTACAGATAGTGTTGATATCCCATCAACAAATGGCATCTATATATGATATTCAAATAGGGATGTATGTCATTTTTCTCTGGGAATTGCGATTGCACCACATGGGTTACCATCTGGTTATTTAACATAGCCATGGAAAACCCACTATAAATGGAAGTTTTAATGGGAAAATCACTGATAAATGGGCCATTTTCCATGGCCATGTTAAATAACCAGAGGGTATCCTCTGGTAAATTAACATAGACCCTTTTCAAATCACAATTTGTTAGTTGAAACTCATCTTCCAAGCCCGATGACTGCCAGGGTCTATGTTGATTTACACATCTAAAAAACACATCTAAAAAAAACAGAGGGTACATCTAAAAAAACATATTTTTGTTTAGATGTGTTAATTTACCAGAGGGTACATCTTAGAACATGGCACTAGTCACTAGCAAGGCATCCTATGGCCGGCTGGTCATCACCCGGCTGGGGAATTTCCGAAAAGCCGTGGCTGAAAATCAACGCTGGTTGTCTGACTGTCTATCTGGTGCGTTTCGGGATTTACTATGGTTTAATATGGTATACTATGGATTTACTATGGTTTAATATGGTTTAATATGGTTTAATATTTTTGAATATGGTTTAATATGGTATACTATGGATTTACTATGGATTTACTATGGTTTAGCATGGTTTTTGTTTGGGATGATAATTGGATAATGATGGGATACTGGGATATTGATGGATATACCCTTTGGTAATATCTAATGACTGACAGTTTGCTATTGAAAATGGCCATTTAAATCATGAGTTTTCCCAATAGTGGATCTTTCAATAGTTACGCAAATGTTTACCAGAGGGTAGTTGAAAAGTATATACATAGAAATGGTGATGACTGGGGGGATGGTTTATCATTAGTGGTTATACCATGTTTCAATCTTCATGCTTTTACCTGAAACTGTCTAAGAAGGAACAGAGATAGCAAAGGAGCTAGCTATGAGTATCCATACTCCCTTTGATCAAATTTATACTTTTTGTTACCCTCCGATAAACGTTTACAGGTTCGCTTAGAGAAACTACCGGAGGAAATTCCCATGGTGGCAGACTGGAAATTCCCAATGGGACTTCATCATTTGAAGGTTTCCTAAAATTGTGGTACCCCTAAAAAAAATGGTTGATTTCATGGAGAATCCATCTATAAATAGATGATTTATCAATGCATGACTAGGGGTCCCCATATGACTCAGGAAATCTTTATAATTTTTCGCCCGCGCATCGCGAGGAATTCTACAACATCCTGGTTGCTGCTCGCATCTCGAAGCAGATGGAGGTTGTGGAATGGATGGTGCCCCCCGTTGACGTGATGTGAATGTTGGTTTATAAACCATAGAAATGTATAGATATAACACCCTAATCAACCCTAGTGAAATTGGAGTTATAAACCAACCTAGCCAACTATGGGGCACCACCTTGTGTGGAATGGATGGAATTCAAGGAATATGCATGCATAGACTCTATAGACCCGTGTTTTGGGGTTCCATAAGCTATGGTTATCTACAATGTGGGCCCCCCGTTGTCGTTATATAGTTAATAACCATAAGTTAATGTGTGTGGTTTATTAATGTGGTTAAAGTTATAGTTAATGTAGTTAATACACTATATAAGTTAATGTGGGATATGTTTGTTGCTTTATAAACCCCATGAACTATATAGTTATATCCACCAAGAACCATCGAATTCACCAAGTTATATGCACCAACTTAGCTATCGTAAACGGGGGGCCCTCACATTGTACATCTCATCCCTATAAATCACTATCCCTACATAAATTATCATCCCAGGATATCACTATATGGATTACATCTCATTACATCTCATTACCTATGGTTACCTATATCGGTTACCTATATTAGTTGCCTATGATTACCTATGGTTACCTATCCCATATGCTCCATGGTTCTGGTATATTTACCAACATTTGCCTGAACAAAATCACCCAGTTATGTAGGTAAATATACCAGCACCATGGTTCGCATATGGGATAGGAGTATCATCATGTATCATCTATATTACCTATATTGGTTATCTATATTGGTTACCTTATGCTTACTCCAATTTCATCATCGCATCATGCCAAACGCACCGGCCCAACGCTTCGCGGCCAAGGGATCTCTTCCGCCGCGGAGCAGGCTGTGAAAGGATTTCAGGCGCCCTCGGGAGCGTCGCGGTGGGATTTCCACGGTGAGCACCTGTGGGATTCCTGGTGGGAAATAAGGAAAAAATGATGATCTTTCATGGAATTAATATGAATATGATTCGGAATACATATATATATACTGTATACATAATATATATATATACATGTATATATGATTCGATGTTGGAACAAGATTGAGCATGGCTTTCAAATTTTGAACAGCATTCAAGTCAATCTAGGGCTAGTCACTAGTCGCATTGAACATGACCTTCACTTCAAGCACTTCAAGCAGTGTCCCCCTGGTTGGACATGAATCGACCACTAGGCTCTGCAAACATCCCAGGATAGGAACTCAGGAATGGACTCCGCAAACACTTTCGGTTGTGTTGCCAGTCCAAGGCAATCCAAACAAGGTCTTGATAATTGTATAAGGTGGTGCCCCATAGTTAGCTAAGTTGGTTTATAACTGCAATAATGTGGATATAACAAAGCCATAAACCATCCCCAATTCATCACTATAAATAGGTAGTATATGGTAGTATATGGTTACCATCAAAAATGGGTGGTTTATGACATTGTTATACCCACATTATTTGCACCATCAGCTATATATAGAATATGGAAGGTTCAACAACTCAAAAACGTGCAGTGATTGAAGCTGTCGCAGCATTGCACAATTACCTACAATGTGGGGCCCCCAAAACGTGATGTCTGTTGGTTTAGTTTCACCCAGAAAAAAACTATACTGCGTTATTTGCGTACCATAAACCATAGAATAGCCACCATAAACCATAGAATAGTCACCAGAGTTTTCATTCACCCGTTTTTTCAAAAGGTGCACGGTCCCACGGTTCACATCTTTGGATCAGTACTATCCGTTGTGGTTTTTCCGGAGGGAGCGAAGGTTTTTCCGGAGCGATTCGGAGCCGGTATCCATAATTATTCCCAAAAAATGGAGGTTTCCATAAATGGGGTACCCCCATTTATGGATGGTTTAGAATGGAAAATCCCAGCTATAAGTGGATGATTTGGGGATGGAAATCTCCAAATATTCCCTATGAAAAATGGGGAGCCGTGAGTTTGGAGCTACGATTCATGAGCTTCCCATGGAGATTTTCAGCAAGATCTTGTCACGAGCAATGGACCTAGGATCTGCCAGAGATTATCCATTGCTAGCTGAAAAACATGTCCTTGGTTCATTCTGAGTGGCAACCCAAACCCACGAGGTATGAATGGAATTGTCCAACATTTTTGCTACTCAGCTTGCAACATGTGTTTTTTTTAATAACATTTGCTTCCCAGCAAAAAAAACTGTAGATTCACTGTAGATTCACTGTAGATGCCTTTTTGAACATACCTACAATGTGGGGCCCCCAGTTATAAGTTGGTTTTTAAATCCCAGTAACTATAGTTATAAGTATCATAAACCCACTGATAAACCAACTTAGCTATCTAGGGGGCACCACATTGTATAAATGTTCATAATTCTATATATATATATATATTTATATATACATAGACTATATACAGTGCCATCCTTCAGTGCCCCATGGATACAGCTTGTTACTTTCAGTGGCTTTGAGTGCATTGTTGTTGCGGGAGGTTGTAACCCGGGATATCATGGTTTAGTCTAATGGTTGTGAGTTTTTACAAACCCAAGTTGTAGGGGTAGATATATCTTGTGAACATGTGTAAACCCACTTTTTAACCATTTTAGCTGACAAACATCAACTTGGTAACTTGTAGAACTCACTTGTGAGCCAAATGGCGCAGGCAAACTAGACACGCGCTCTTGCGGCGCCACTTATTGCCGTACCATGTGGGGCGTGCAAACGCACTTATCGTGGTACGGAGGCTGTCAGTCCAGTTGGGACTGTCTGCCCCCCCTCAATTGCATCGTGGATGCATTTACTATCCAGTGGTTAGGAGGGAGCGATTTGGAGCTAGGGGTATCTATATTCCCTATATATTTCCCTATTCAATGGGGAGCCGTTCGGAGCTACCTAGAGTTTCCCAACCATCTAAAATTGAACATAGCTATTGGCCCAGTCGAAATAGTGACTTGGCCCGTCAAAAGTGGGGATTCCC